GTATATTTTACTGAATTAATATTACGTCACGCCAAAAATGGATGAAATATATAATGCTCATCTTTATTCACTCAAGAACAGCTTCTTGTATCGACTCACAAAATCCGAACAATGACCCGATGGATGGAATGTAATTTTCAATTCATGTGTACATTTTGTATTCGTATTTGGTTTTAAAAATGTTGTTTAGGGCTGGATGGCTCGATATTCGGCTCACTTCTTGATCTCGTGTCTTCAAATGTCATTTTTTTTTACAGTAGGCCCATAAATGTTTTCTGTTTTGTGATTAAAAGGTGAAATATATGAAATAAAATTATTAATTCGAAAATAAACCTTTTAGGCTTTAACATCAGTGCAGTGACAAACTTGTGCGCGGTCAGGAATTGTAGAATTATGAACCTAATATTCCAAATAGTACATTATTTCTACACTGATTCCATCATGGTATTCCTTCTTTCTTTCGTAACTTACTTATAATATTACAGATCTATGCACTGATAACGAAATAAAAAAAAAACTAGAATTAAGAAAAAACCCGAGTTGACCATAACAATAGTAGGCCTATGTGGAACAAAGTAAGCCGAACAGATAGCGCACAAACTTGAGAACACATTTTGAAAGCATGAATTGAGTAATATACACCTCAAAACAAGGTTATATTTACTTTTCTCGGTTTCATTCTATGCCGTGCCCTTGTCAAACAATGAAGTACTGTACAATAATAACCAATAAACTGCTCAATAGGCCTATTGGTTAACTTATTTCCGTGTAATTTCGATTGATGATATTTCGCATTAGAGAAGCAAAAAAGTTACAAAAATGCTTATAGAGGCTGGAAACACCATGTCTGGTGTTATGTATCACCGGATTTTTTCCAGTGGTGCCAGCCTAGGAGCCAAGGCAAGTATTGTACTAATCAAAGTAATAATCAAGTATGAACTCGGCCAGACTGATAAGAATAAGATATAAATATATTTTTAATTCAAAATTTTTATTTTATTTAAGTACAGAATAAAGATAAACACATGAAACATGTAGAATGCAAAGCAGGAATTCGATATTTTTTTCTTGTGTTCCACAATCTTTAAAATATACCAATGATATCTTCTTGCATTCAGAGAACTTATAATGTAAATATAAAATATTTCTTAGATGTCTAATAAAGTCATCGTTGAGTAAGTTGGCATTAGCTTTAATTTAATTAATGATTGTTATAATTTTCTCACTTTTGCTGTCTATTTACTTTAAGTTGTTAATATCATCATGGAGGAATTAATTGATTCCTCCATGGGACCATGATATCATATAGGGGGCCTAGCATAAAAAAAAATTAAATTAAACTTTTAGTATGTCTCTTGGTGTATTTCCAAAAAACAGAGGGCGCTAACATGTTTTAGCATTCTGTGTGAGCTACAACTAACCCAAAATTCAAATCGATGTTTTCCCCGGATACGAAATTGTTAGGTAATCCCTGACACCAGGAAGAACCTAAAAAATAAATTCAAAGCAATTTCGCGCGTCATCGGTAGGCTAGTTCTCTAAACATTGTTATATGATTGAATTAACAACAAGACTGCATTTTACCTTTTTGGAATAACAAAGGTCGCCATAGCATACCGATGACATGTAACACGATGACTCATGATATACAGTGTTACTGCTGATTTTGCCTGTTAGTTAACTTACTTCCGTGTAGTCGATTTATTTATTGATTTATTTCGCATTTAAAATACAGATTAACATTGATAAAAATGTGAAAAGTTCACAAAAGTACAAACTGAGGAGGAACTAGTTGTTGAATACCTTCTGAAAATCCCAGATATAGCCTAAAGCTAATCTTAAGAATTATTACCAATAAGTGGTATAACAAATTGTACTAAAAAATTTTACACGGCGGTTTGGCGTAGCAATTTCCATTCAGGTTCTGAACCTGACGTGGCCAGAATGATAAGAATAGTATATATATATATATTTAAAATGCCAAATATTAATTTCGATTGATGATTTTGCTTTAGAGAAGTAAATGAAAAAGGAGACAAATTACAAAAAAAGAAAAAAAAAACTCATGGTGAAGCTGCAAGACCAATGCCAGGTATTATTACCACCAACAATTTCCAGTGGAGCTGGCCTCGAAAAAATAATAATTGTTGTACAAATATAAAGAGAATATAAAGAAAAATATATATAGTAATCAGTAAACACGGCCAGAGTGATAAGATTAGGATATAAATATATTTTTAATTCACAGTTTTGTTCCAGTTTCACTTTTAAAAAATGTACAAACAAAGATGAACACATGAAACAGATAGTCCAGCAAACTTTGGTTGGTTGCATTTTTTTTTGCTATATTTTTTAAAA